TGGGGCACCCTCTATTCTGACCCCCCCCAGATGAGTTTAGAAGCCAACTTCTTTATCCATGCTTGGACAGAATGATGCAGGAGCTCACTCATCGGTTTTCAGATTTGGGAGTTGAACTTATGTCAGGTATTCAAGCCTGCAATCCGACTACATCGACCTGTCAACGGTTATAAACTACCTTTATTCTGCCGCTACTGGGAGGCGAACCTGCGCAAAACTGCATGTCAACCAGCCTCCATAACCACTTCACCACTATATCTGTTAAATAGCAAGTGGCATTACATGTAAGTGTGCCATCCAGCATGTCTTTGTAGATGGGATGTATGGTTTATCGGCGGTGTCTCAGTAGAAGTCATTTCAGAAATAATTTGTCAGAAAATTCACAGAATATCCAGATTTGAGAACCAAGACCAGACCCACTTCGGGGGAGGAGACCTAATTGAAGCTGAGATGGGAGGAAAATGCATGGATGAGGCCAAAAATGGCTTTGGCGTGTTTCTTATGAGGAAATGACGATATATCACGGTAAAAAGTTCCAACAGTTAGATTTTTAATTAGATTAAACCTTTACAAAAACGGTTCAGTTAACTTCTCAACTCCGTCCTCAATCTTGCATTTTTTAGCTATAAAACCCTCTTTGGTTCCAGAATGCTATCATGTCTGACAACTGGAAGGAATTGGACAGACTCTGATGGAATGGGCGGGGCTGACTCTGGTGCAGCTCCGCCTTTGTGGTTCTGCAGCGAGCACCACTTGCTCTGATTGGCTAACAGCAACACGACTCTGCTACTTACTCTATTTGCTCTGCTACGATCATTTTCAAAAATAACACAAGCTGTGTGGTGGAGTTGCTAATGCTAACAGTTAGCTTCTACTAGCTGAGATGTTCCCTGCTGTTTCCTGGACGCTAAACCAATAGTATTCCCCGTTATGAGTCCAGATGGGTGAGTCCATGAATGTTAGTGACAGGGTGACGTAGATCTGTCAGGATTTTCTATCCTAGAGTTTCACCGTCTGTCTTCTATCAGAAACTACTGCAGGAGATAGGTGTAGGAGACTATTTTCATGTTGAACCTGCATGTTAAACTTAGAGTGGCAACGCACCAGGCTAAAGAAAATACTTTATTAATCCCAGAGGGAGATTGATTAAAGGTGATCTTCTACACCCCCAGCAGGTCCCTGAGGTCCAGTGACCAAAGCCACCAGGCTAAAGGTCAAAGGTGACAGATCATCTGCTGCTGTGGTCCCCAGACTCTGGGCCTCTCTCCCCTTGAGCCTGAGATCAGGACCCAGTGGTCTCCTTTAAACTCACCTGTTCAGGCTTTGGTGGGACCTTCATCACCTCCCTCTCCTTGTTCTGCTTGTGTTCCTCCTTTCCCAGGATCTACTGAATTCCCTCTTTCCTGTTTATTTTCTCTCTCTCTTTCCTTATGTTTTTTTATTTTTTTTGTAATCACATATTTTTTTCTTTCTCACCGTGTCTCCAGACAGAAATGTGGACGTGCTGTTGTGTAAAATACGCCCAGGTGAGTTTAGACTGTTATGGTCCTCACAGTCAGAGATGTCTGCATACACAAAACAGTACAGCACCGCTATCAAAATTAAATGAGTGCAAACATTTCCATGCATAACCCCTGATGACACCCCCCCCCCCCCCCCCCCCCCCCCTACACACACACACACACACCTTTGTTTTCAGGGCTTACTAAGGGTGGGGCTGCTGAGGAGAGGCGTGGACCCGGACAGAGTCAGAAGGAATGTGTACCGTTGGTTGGGCCCAAGAGGTTTTATACTTTTACCGTTTCTAAACATTCTGGAAGAAGTCAGCGACATCATCAGTCACAGCTGGAGGTCAGGGGCAGGCCGGGTGGGAGAAAAGGGACACGGACATGAAGACGGATTCCCCAAGGCATGTCAGCAATCGCGTGTGCTTTTGTTGTCCGTGTTAGGTTTCACGGTAAAGCCCCAACGTCTGCAGACCAACTACAGTTAGACATTTATACTTGCCTGATTCTATTTCATTGGCTGCAGCAGTAGCTCAGAAGATAGAGCTGGTCCAGTGAGGAGGACAACCTTGTGTTGTGTCACACACTTTACCTGACTTTCACATTGGTGGGGGTCAGATGGGCTGATAGCAGTAGTTTGTCTTCCCCAGGATAGCGATGGCTACGATGCAGTTCTCCACCACCGGCTAGGAAAAAGGGAACAGTGGAATTCTAACTCCTTATCTTTCCTTTCAGGCCATTATGCTGATAGAAGGACCGATAATTCCCCGTGAATATTTTTATTTGCAGTTACCTTTTGCCAAACTGCAAAGGAACATAGTACAAGAGATACAGAGTAGGATGTAGGACGTGTATACACACCCACAGAGCAGCCATCGGTGGGTCAGGTGAAACTTATCAGAGACACCTCTGACTCCGCAGCAGCAGCAGCAGCAGCAGTCACATTTAAACAAGACAGCCAAACAAAGGTGTGTGTGGGCTGGATAAGGTTCCTAGGCACCGCTCTAAACAGAGCCCATAGTGGCCACACCCCCTGGTAGCGCTATCACCATGACGTCATCGGCCAGCACTAAGAATTACTGCTTTGACTTTTTTCCTATATCATTTCTTTCATTTTCACATTATTTGTAATTTAATTTTAAAAAATGTTGGTAATTAGAACAAAACAACAACAGAGAAGCAATGCAAATATAGATCCAATGAATAACAGAACTGCTGAGACAAAGAAACACCAAGCCCCAAACAGCCGCAGTTCCACCCTCATCCACTAGGGGCTGGCAGCACACGTGAGCAGATCCTCATTCACTCCCTTGTTACAAAAGCCAGCTTCACAGCAGAAATAAACATGTTTACAGCCTGGTTCAAAAAACCATTCTAAGTTTAATAGATCTAGTTTAAATTCAAGACAACCCTGAGGGGGTGAGTTTTTTTCTAACTCTTCTGTTTAAGTGGATTAAACGCCTAAAAATCGGAATAATTAATGAGCATCAGAGCCACGTCACTGCAGAGCTAGCTCCAGAGAGAGGCCTCAGCCTCACGTTACTAGAGCAACAGCCATTTTGACTCTCTGAACTTTAGTTGTGTGTGTGTGTGTGTGTGTGTGTGTGTGTGTGTGTGTGTGTGTGTGTGTGTGTGTGTTTGTGTGTGTGTGTGTGTGTGTGTGTGTGTGTGTGTGTGTGTGTGTGTGTGTGTGTGTGTGTGTG